AGAAGAATATTGAATGTACCATGGGCTCTTAGGAAGCCAGGATGACCAGACTTTGTCTCTCATACTTTGGACATGTTGTCAGGAGGGACTAGTCTCTGGAGAAGGATATATGTTCGGTAAAGTGGAGTGTCAATGTAAAAGAGGAAGAACTCCAACAAGATAGATTGGCACAGTGGCAGCAGTGATGGGCTCAGGTGTAGCAACGATTGTGAGGTTAGCCCTGGACCGGGCAGTTTTTCGTTCTGTTGTGCATAGGGTCACTATGAGTTGGTACAGACTCAATTCACCTAACAACTACAACATTCATACGATAAGCACTAGATTGCGTTATATGCAGTTTGAGCCTGCCAGCCATTCTGCCGGAGAATAATGAGGCTTTCTGCTTCTGGGAAGATTAAAGACTCAAAAACACTGTACAGCATCGCTTTGAGTCAGGACCGACTCAACAGCACTTAACAACAACAACAGTCATTATAAATATAAGGATTCTCTTGTTTTCAAATTGTTTTACTACAGAGCATGCGTGTCTTTGCTCACTCGGAATGTAATCTGTTAGCCTTATGTAAAGACTGTAAGATTAGATACAAGTGCTATAGAATCAGAAAACATGACAAAGATTGGAAATTTAATTCTCAGTAATATTTATTATCAATCATATCTAATTAATATGAATTTACTTACAGTAAATTCACTAAATTTGTTTCCTTCTGCCTAGAAATAGGCCCCTTGTTTCACATATTATAAATGGTCTTTGTAATTTTTGATGTGTGACAGCAGTTTCCTTGTTTGAACCCATCTACAGTGACTTCATTAAAGAGCATCTGGCTGCTTCTAAGTCAAAACACAATGCAAAGTTGTTTATCTTGGGCACAGGACTGAGATGCCTTGAATGATACAAGCTTTATTTGTTGGGCTTATTAAATAAAGTGAGATGGGAGGCTTGAGTATGTTTTCAAACGTGTTGTGAAAGGCTCTTGTATTTAAAGGAACAGATGAAATATTCAGGGAATGTTGAGCGAATATTCAGAGGTATAACAACCACTCCTTTAGGTTCATTAAGTGTGGTACTATAGGGTAAGCACTGGACTTCTAACCGCAGGTTGGAGGTCCAAACCAGCCACTCCTCAGAAACCCTATACAGGATTGCTATGAGTTGAAACCAAATCAACGGCACTTAAACCACAACAACAACAGCTACCTTGGTTAGAAAAAAGAATCAGGTGATCAGCATCATGACTTTTCAGGAATTAAAACTCTTCTCCATAACATTGTCAGAGGTTTCCATTTCTTGGGGCACAGAGATATTGTATCTGTACAGTCAACAGGATTTAAGAGCTGAATATCACCTGATGGGGAATTAAAACCCATATCTTTTTTAACAAGAAATTCTTCTAGTTATAAGAAAATGCTGCCCTAGGATTCTGTACCCCAGTGGAAATGAAGACAAATACTGACATGTGGTATGTTGTTGTTAAGTACTATTGAGTTGGTACCCACCCCTAGCAACCCTATGGTGGTCCTGCACCATCCTCACAATTATTGTAATGCTTGAGCCCATTGTGGCAGCTACTGTGTCAAACCATCTCATTGAGGATCTTCCTCTTTTTCTGTTAACTCTTTACTTTACCAAGCATGATGTCTTTCTCCAGGGACTCATCCCTCCCGATAACTAGTCTAAAGTACGAGAGACAGCCTCACCATCCTTATTTCCAAGCAGCCTTCAGGCTGTACTTCCAAAACAGATTTCTTCATTATTCTGATGGTCGACAGCAATTTCAATATTTTCACCAATAAAATTTAAATGCATCAATTCTTCTAGGGTCTTCCTTATCTATTCTGCTTTCACATGCATTTGAAGGGATTGAAAATGCCATGACTTAGGCTGGGTACACCTTAAGTCCTCAAAGTGATGTCTTTGCTCTTTTACTAATTTAAAGAAGTTTTTGTATTTTTGTTTTTATTGTGAATTGAGTGATAGTTTACATGGGAGAACATCAGCTTTACACTCATCCTATTGTATTTCGTTTGATTGCAATGACTACAATCCCTTCCATGCATCATCATTCAACAATATTTGCTTCTATTCCCTCTGTTTTTTTCTGGATGTACCCCCAAACACTTAGGAATAGACAATCATTCAAACACCCAAAGGGCATACCCTGAAAGTCTTCCCCCAGGCCGCTAGCACACAGCCCCTCTCCCTCTATGAGTCTAGAGTACTCAGCCACTTTGTCTCTCCACGTCAGCATCTCTACCTTAAAGAAGTCTTTTGCAGCAGACTTGCCCAATGCAGTATATCATTTTATTTCTTGACTGCTGCTTTCATGAGCACTGATTATGGAGCTAAGTAAAATGAAATCCTTGATAACTTTGATCTTTTCTCTGTTTATCAAGATGTTTGTTGGTCCAGTTGTGAGGGTTTTTATGTTCTTTATGTTGAAGTAGACTCTATACTGAATCCATTGTAGTCTTGGATTTTTATTTGTAAGTATGGTATGGTAGATTACTGCTTTTACTGTTGTATGTTGTTAAGTCAGTCACAACTCATAGTGACCCTGTGGGTTTCTGAGGCTGTATATCTTTATGGGAGTCCTGGTGTGGTGTTGTGGGATGAAACATTGGACTGCAAGGTCCGTTTGAACCACAAAGTTAGTGATTCAAATTCACTAGTCATGCCTTGAAAACCCTATACAGAGTTGCTATGAGTCAGACAGCATTTAACAACAACAAAATCTTTATGGGAGCAGAAAGCCTCATCTTTCTCCTGTAGAGAAACTGGTGGATTTGAACTGTTGACCTTGAAGTTAGCAGCCCAGCACAAACCCACTATACTACCAGGGCTCCTTGAGATGTGCTATGCTGTTGTTAAGTGCTGTCGAGTCAGTTCCAAGCCATAGCAACCCTGTATAGGGTTTCTGAGGAGCAGCTGGTGGGTTTGAATTGCCAACCTTCTGGTTAGCAGTCCAGTGCTTATCCTACAGTGCCATACCAGTACTCCTGAGATGTGGTATAGATCTTAATTAATGCTAACAAATAGCTTGAATGTTTCAGTTGATTGTTTTATTGAAAACAAAACTAGAGTGTCCTTATTTTGAACACTTTTTTGTTCATATCTACAACTAACTCCTGAATCCTTACTGTAGACAAAGCCTTTTCAAGATACTTCCTGACCATTTCTCCTTCAAGGAGCACAGCTGTAGTAGGTGGGGTGAGACAAGTATTCAAAAGACAAGGAAGCTAAGTGCCAGAGAAAGGGTACCAGCAACAAGAAGGCTCCAAAAAAAGAAAGAGGAACTGGGAAAACCTTATATAGATTTTCTGTTTGAGATGGGAAATTTTGTTGACTGGAATATGGGGCCAGAAAAGAGAATTATTTTCCCTTGGCTCTTTCTTTTTTTGTTCTTTGTTGTTGTTGATGTCTAAAAAGCAAAGAGTAATAATGTATGTAAGATCAAACTTTAATCTTATGGTACTCAGCTTTAGGATTCAGTCTCAATGAAAACACTAAATTCAAAAATGGAAACTGTCTGTAAGCTATTTGGTGTTTGTTGTTTGTGTTTTCTGTCAGTAATTTTTTCCCCCTTTTTTGTCAGACTTCATGTCAGGAGAAGAAGAATTTGTGTCAGTCCACACAGTCATACTATTAAGCAGTGGATGAAAGCATTAGCAGGCAAGAAAAATGCTAAAGGCAGCCTTTGCCATAAGAAGAATCACCCTGGCAAGAGGACCAGTAAAAGGAGCATATCAGCAGAAGCATGAACCATATGGCCATAAAACTCCTTATTAGATTAATCTGCGATGGTTCTGGAAGTAAACTTGGCCATGACCGGCTATACATGTCCTATCTGTAATGTTTCTTATTGGAATCCAACAGGGCAAAACAAAATACTGTTATCTTTTAAGGGAAAAATTTTACAACATACAGACACAGCAATAGTAATACACTTATCTAAAAAATGAAATGAAGAAGGGACGTTTATTACAGATAGTATTTTAAAAGGAGTATATTGATGCAATTTCTCCAAATCTCATTATGAGTTTCTCTCAAACCTACAGAGAAGTTGAAAGATCAGTACAACGAACACCCATACACCTTTCATTTAGGTTAGTCGTTAGACAGATTTTGCCACATCTGCTCTCTCTTCACATGTACATAGATCCAAATATACAAAGAATATTATATATATATTTATGTCTACTACGTGTATTTTTTGAACCATTTTAAAACAAATTACAGACTTTTCCGGGGACCAGCCTCAGCAAACTTATTCAGGGGTTCCAAAAGGGTGTGCAGCATCAGCGGAAAAAAAATCATACAGAGTCGATGGGTCGTGATGAATTCAAGATCTTCTCTCTTTCATGCTTTATTCTCATGCCTTATTCTATCTTACAACCTCCTTATATACCGTTACAAAAAACATTGCTTTCATAGCACTCAATGTTTTCAAAGTACAATCTATTTTGGGGGCACATTTTTCATGGTTTACGACCCTTAGATTTACAACAGGGACAAGAAGTTACAGCAAAGAAACATTACATCAAGGCATACGTGACATCCTGGCACCTTGAAACCTTTTGGTTAAACATTTGTTCCTACATAAATAACTTTTATTCTTTTCTCTGAGGAGCAAGTTAACCTTTACATATGTTTCTTAACCTCTATCTATTAAGTCTTGTGAAATCATCAATCTTAGTTGTCGGGTGCAATTACTCTTCATTAACTTCCTCCATACACTATCTGCTTATATCCTACAAAAACATCACTTAGCAGAAAAACTGAGGCCATGAAAACAACTTCCCTATTTTACTGATCATTAATCTAAGAATGTCTAAGTCAGACTTTTTATTTACGTATCTGTATGTTCCCATAGCCCTTATTTGTAGTTTAATTGCTTTTA